TCTTATCCAGGCAGCGTCATCGGCCTATAAGCTGACCTACTGTATAGTGCGCTCTACCATCGCCCGAGCCCGAGAATGGGCATCATTATAACACCGCTCTTGTTCATTCTGTGGGTTTGCCAGCAGCGTGAGAAGCCACAACTTCAGTGGGTACCCACTATCCCCTAAGGAATTGTCAAATAGTTAAATCAAACAAAGCTCACAATATTGGGCCAAATTATAAAATGGGAAAAATCTTCTTACCGAGCAACCAGCCATCACTTACCACTCCATTTTCAAGTTTGTTTCCAACACTACTGTTTCTAAGAATGAACGAATCATGGGTTGTGCCAGGCCATCTAGCCAGAACATTGAGACGCATGTTCGATTCGCACATAATTTGTACATTAATAGAGTGAAAGTGCTTTCTATTTACATAAGCAAATTCATTCTCTGAATGTGCCTTAAAAACAATGTGCGTGCAGTCGATGGCTCCGATTACATTGGGAAAACTGGACATCGCTGCAAACTGCGCTTTAATGTTTGCCTGTTCAACAACACTGTAAGGAAATTTTGTATACAGTGGTACCTCGGTTCTCGAACTTAATCCATTCCGGACTCCGGATCGAATCCTAAAAAGTTCGAGTTCTGATCGAATTTTTCCCATAAGAAATAATGGAAAACCAATTAATTGGTTCCCGGCCCCCCAAAATTACACATAAATATGTTTTTTTTTTTTTTTAGCATTTAAACACAAAATGAACAGGATAAAACAAGAAGAGCATTTCTTTCTTAATGGCTTCCAAAACGATAAAGATCTTATCCCAACATTACCTCTGTCCTGCCCCGATGGTCTGCTCCTTCCGTGTGCCACGCCCCCTCGTTAACCTCATGTGGGATCCCTGTGTGATCAGCTGTTTCTGGTTGTTGTCATTATTCCTCTGTATTAAGTTTCAGTTTGTTTCCCCAGTCCGGTCATTGGGTGCGTTCGACTTGGCTTAAAGCAACGCATTCTGAATTTCTGATCCAGACGCAATGCATTACGGTTAGATGCATTGTGACCTCTCACCCGGCTGCACAAACTGGAACTGCCTCCGTGACGACACACCTTTGCCCTTATTGGCTGAAGAGTTTAGTTACACGCATGACGTTTGTATCCCACGCAGTTCCGAAGCGTAATCTGCTATTTCTCCCGAATATCACGTAAAGCAGTAAGAACTGGTTTTCAGTTAATTTACCTGATAAAATAAAGTTTAAATAAATGACATAAATGCTCTAATAGTACACGTAAGTTAGTGGTTTATTTATTGTTAGTTACTGTAATGTTGCGCTGCTTTATTTGGTTAATCGTCCAGCCTGTGAAGAAGGCATTCAAGTAAGAATTGCATTGTAGTATGACTCATTTCCTGGCGCGAACAATTTATATTAGGTCAGCATTCACGGTTCGACTTCTGATATTCAGATCGAGTTCTAGGTCAAACTGGTTTGTTCGACTTTCAAGAAATTCAAGTTCTAGTGAGTTTGAGAACCGAGGTACCACTGTATTTGGGTGACAAGCAGATTATGCCGTCCTATACAACTGGCATGGCGCGACTTACTGTAGTGTTGACTGAGAAATACCCGATCAGTCCGCAAGTTCTCGCTGAAAAGCACCTGTGGCTAAGAACCCAAGAGTGGACAGAACTTGTAAAGGAACAGGTATAGCGCAATTCCTCATCGTCTGCCTTTGTAAAGCTGGCACCAGTTCAGCACACAGCTCCAAAAGGATTGCTCTTGGAAATCTGAATCTATTTAAAAGCCAGTCATCATCATGGGCCAAGAAATCACTATGATCCCTGAATACACGCTCTCTGCTAATTCTTCCATAAGCTATGTCTTCCAATAATGCAAGAGCTGCCATGGTAGTTGTAATAGTTCGTTCATTTTCTGCACCGTTTTATTGTTACAAATTGATTAAAAATCAGGTGCCGTACATTTGTAAACAACATACAATTAATGTTGGTGTATTGGATAAAGTCAGCGTCATGATTGTGAGTTTAAAAAGCGAAACCACAGTAGCAATGACTTGCCACTGAGTGCCGTCCGTTTACAAAACCGAGCAGAAACGTGCGTACGCCATGTCTGGAGCTGCCGTGAGAATGTGCATAGCGGTACGCCAAGTTTCATTTTTATACATATCGACGTGAGCGTGGAAACGGATGTACGCAACATTTTCGTGCGTACGCAACGTTTATACATGAGGCCCCAGATCTGAATCCAATAGAGCAGCTACGGAATCTGGTGGAACGAGAGAATCATGAAGATGTAGCTGACAAATCAGCAACAACTGCGCAATACTATTGTGTCAATATGGACCAGTGTCTCTGTGGAATGTTTTAAGCACCTTGTTGAATCTATGCCGCAAAGAATTAAGGCAGTTCTGTGGGCAACAGGGAGTCCAACCCAGTACTAGCAAGCTGTACCTAACAAAGTGGCCAGTGAGTGTACATTCCCCTGAAAACATCCATCTGACATACAGACAAATGATGTAAAGCCATCATACATACATTAACCTGACACAATTTCACCCAAAATGGAGACAATTGACATCCACCCAACCTACAGACAACTGGCATACATCCACCCGACACACATTCACTAAAATACAGCCATCCAGCATACAGACATATGGCCAACCTGACATGCATTAATTTGACATACAGCCACACAACATGCATTCATCCGACATACAGCCACCTGACATACAGACGAGTGACATACACCGACTGAAAATGTCAACACAGAGCCAAGTGACATATATTCACCTCATGTACAGGCAGGTGACAATCAGCCGACGTCCACTTGAAACACAGTCAACTGGCATCAACCCCTACATACAGGCACCCAACATATATCCATCCAAGTCATACACAAGGCAACCACAGACACACACAGACATTTATTGATTGTAGACGGTTTTTGGTAAGAACAGCAATAATGCATACAATACCCTACTGTGACTGCGATGAACATCAGACCAGGATGTCTTTGTACATAATTACACAAGTTATGTCAATTTCTGTGAGGCAAAGCATAAAGATAACAGGACTTGTGTGTGTATGTGTGTGTGTGTGTGTGTGTGTGTGTGTATCTGTGTGTCTTAATAAGAGCAGTGACAGTGTGTGTTTGTGTGTGTAGTCTGATCTGGTTTGTTTCATTAGAGTTACCTCAGTGCACTATGGTTTGATCCAAGAAGAGGCAGAGTTTGCATAGAGGTTCTGGGGTAACAGGGGCCCCTCTGGCTTGCACCATTCCCCCCTCCGGGGGGAGGCTTGGCTGGCGGCTGCTGTACAGGGAGCTGCTTTGACGGACACATAGCGGTGGAGACAAGGTGTGGGGTGGGGCCAGTGGCCGAGGGGAGGATGTTGTATTTGTTTCAGAGGGTAACAAGGAGAGGTAGTGCATGGAAACCAGAAAGAGAGAGAGAGTGTGTACGGAAAAGGGCTGGAGACCTATTAGGGTTGGGGGAGGGGGAGGGGGGGGGGGGGGCAAGAACAAACATGGAGACCGCAGGTAGGAGGGGTACAATGCAGAGTAGGGCAGGAGGAGACGGACAGTGAGCATCAGGAGAGTGAGGGCCGGAGAAAAGGGAGTAAGAAAGGGAGATCATACAATGAGCACAAGTAAAGAGAAAGAGAGGAGGCGCATGAACAGGAGAAAAGGGAGGGGGGGAGGGGGTGAAGGCAGAGGAGAGTGAGAAACTGTGTGCCTTTCGACTGTTGTGCTGCACTATACAGGCAAGAGCTACTGACCAGATATCAGAAGAGAGTGATGTCAGTGCTGCATATCATTATACAGCTCTGCACAGCTCCGACAGACACTGACAGATACACTGACAGACTCTAGTACTGACACAGTCACAGAACCTAGTACTGACAGACACATCAATGATTCCAGTACTGACACTGGGAAATTCTAATAACAAATAACATACTGAGAGATTCTAGTACTAATGGACACACTGACTAGTTCACCAGCTAAACAGTACACGGTATGTTTAATATTCATGTGAAGTCTGTACAGAGACATATTAATGGATAAGGTGACGTGTGCATCCTAAAGATGATCCCTCCCGCTCTGCCTCTGCACTGACGCCCTGACTGCTGCTCTGTCCTGCCATGTGCTCATGGGAAACTCTCCTGCCATGAGCTGCGGACTCTCCCTGTCTCGGTGTGCTGAGGAGCAGGTCACATGATCAGGGCACAGCAGGCTGCCTGCCTGGACTGTACCGTCCCCACTGGCCGAACACGTGTTCAGTTGGCACCTGCCTGAACTTCCTACTCTTTCTGTATAAGTGTGTAAGGGGCCCCCTCACAGCAAGGGTTGTGACCTGGCGTGTCCCAGTTCATGCCAGGAGAGGGAGGGAGTGCAGAGACGGGGATCGGTGAGAAACAGAGGGTGTGTGCTGATCAGGCCGCGTGTGTCTCTGCCAGGGTGTGTAAAGGTGTATATCTATGTGCATGTTGGTGTTTTAAGGTGTGTATCTTTGTGTGCGTTTGCATGTAAAGGTGTACATCTGTGCGCACAGGTACGCATTTTTATGTGTGCGTTTGTATGTAATGATGTGTATCCACATCTATGTATCCATTGTGTGTAAAGGTGCGTCTCTCTCTATGTGTACATTTCCATGTAAAGGTGTATATCTCTAAACACAGGTGTGCATTTTTATGTGTGTCCATTGTGTGTAAAGGTGTCTCTGTACTGGCATTTCTGTGTAAAGGTGTGTATCTCTATATGTGCATTTGCATGTGCAGGTGTGTATTTCTATGTGTGCATTTGTGTGTAAAAGCATGTATTTCTATCCATGCATTTGCATGTGAAGGTGTATATCTGTGTGTGTGCCTGCATGTAAAGTAGCGTGTCTCTATGTGTCTGTTTGTGTATAAAGGTGCACACCTCTGTGTGTGTTTGTGTGTAAAAGAGCATGTCTCTATGTGTGCATTGGCATGTAAAGGTGCAGAAACACGCATGCAGTACCGTACCTTTCCTCACGTTCCCATCTGCAGCGCGAAACTCGCCTGTGCTGAGCAGGAAGCAAGCGCGGTCATGTGGGTACCGCTCTCGGCCTCCAATCCCGCTCGTCGCAGGACTCCTCTCCTCAGGCCCAAGCACCTGGTCAATTGTTGGGCAGTCCTCATTGGCCAGTGCGGCGTTGGCAGCGTCCCCGTTCTGCTTAGAGTCTGGAGGCAGGGCATAGGGAGGAGGCCGTGAACACAAATACAGAAGTAGCCAATCAAGGGCTATTGAGCAACTTGGGTTGAGGAAATCAAGGCTCAAGAAGACAGAGGGTTTAGGGAATGATAAGGGGCAAGGTGGGAACGTGAATAAGCAAGAGAAGATGGACAAAGGCTGGCTTGTGCCTATAGCCTCTGGGATAGACTCCAGATCCCCCGCAACCCTGAATAGGATGAGTGATTACAGAAAATGGATGGATGGAAGATGGAATAAAGTGTAGGAGAGAACAGCAGAGAGATCTGATGATGGTATGAAGAATAGAAGCATAACAGACAGGCCAACTGGAAAAGACAAGCAAGAAGACATAACCAGGAAAATATTATGGGCTGAGTAAGATGAGGTGGGGAGGAAGGAAATGGAAATGAAGGAGGCCAAGGGAGTGAAAACAAAAGGCAAGCTTGATCTCCTTCAATACCAGGTTTACCATAAACCTTTCTGATGGGACGCAGCCTTTTATTTTTATTTTACGTATATGACCCGTGACATAATCAGGATTCTTATTAAATCTGGCCAGCAGATTGTTTTTTTCGTTTTCCACAGAATAAAAAACGATGTAACGTTACCCCGCTAATAAGCGCTGGCAAGTTTGACCACTGGCACCAGAGAATTTTAGAGAAAAGTATATTAGTTAGCGATCAAATTTTCCAATGCAGAAATATAGAGACGCAAGCAAAAAAATGTGTGAATTGATGCATCACATATAATTGGGCTACAAAAATAAATCCATCTGCTCAGTTTATGCTCTACTACATCTCTATTTCTGCACTTCAGCGTAACTTCCAAGTTAGCGCTAGCGCTTGCGGTCAACTAATCAGCAAGTTATGTAAGCACCTCACCAGCAGATTGTGTTTGAACAGAAAGTAGCTAGCCTGGAATAGTTACTCAAAAATGCTTTCAGAACTGCCTCTGAGGAACCAAAATCGGGTCGAGTTCCTGCAGTGTGATCAAGACCTGGTTCCAGAAAAAGGTTCTGGTTCCAAAAAAAAAGTTCCAACAGTGTGAAGGCATCTGTGATCACCTTCTGTACCATGACCGTATCTAACTCATTAGCATAATCTCCCTCTGTATTATGGCCATTTCTGACTCGTTCACATGATCTCCCTCTGTACCATGACCCTTTCTGACTGGTTAGCATGATCTCTCTCTGTTCCATGACCATTTCTGACTGGTTAGCATGATCTCTCCCTGTACCATGAGCATTTCTGACTGATTAGCATAATCTCTCTCTGTTCCATCACCCTTTCTGACTGAATAACATGATCTCCCTCTGTACCATGGCCCTTTCTTATGGGATAGCATGATTTCTGTTCCATGACCTTTTCTGACTGGTTAGCATGATCTCTCCTTGTACCGTGACCCTTTTGGACTAATTAGCATAATATCTCTCTGTACCGTGACCCTTTTCGACTGATTTGCCTGATCTCCCTCTATACTATGACCCTTTCTGATGGGCTAGCATGATCTGTCTCTGTTACATGACGTTTTCTGACTGTTTAGCATAATCTCTCTCTGTTCCGTGACACTTTCTGACTGATTAGCATGATCTCCCTCTGTACCGTGACCATTTCTGATGGGTTAGCATGATCTCTCTGTTACATGACCCTTTCTGAATGATTAGCATGATCTCCCTCTGTACCCTGACCCTTTTTGATGGGTTAGCATGATCTCCCTCTGTACCATGACCCTTTCTGACTGATTAGTATGATCTCTCTCTGTTTCATCACCCTTTCTGACTGGTTCGCATGATCTCCCTCTGTACTGTGACCATTTCTGATGGGTTAGCATGATCTCTCTCTGTTCCATGACCCCTTCTGACCGATTAGCATGATCCCCCTCCGTACCATGACCATTTCTGACTGTTTAGCCTGATCTCTCTCTGTTCCATGACCCTTTCTGATGGGTTAGCATGATCTCCCTCTGTACCATGACCCTTTCTAACTGGTTAGCATGATCTCCCTCTGTTCCATGACCCTTTCTGACTGATTAGCATGATCTCGCTCTGTACCATGACCCTTTCTGATGGGTTAGTATGATCTACCTCTGTACCACGACTCTTTCTGACCAGTTAGCATGATCTCCCTCTGTACCATGACCCTTTCTGATGGGTTAGTATGATCTACCTCTGTACCACGACTCTTTCTGACCAGTTAGCATGATCTCCCTCTGTACCATGACCCTTTCTGATGGGTTAGTATGATCTACCTCTGTACCACGACTCTTTCTGACCAGTTAGCATGATCTCCCTCTGTACCATGA